TTTCAAGTTCTTTTTTCGAACTCGATGTTAGTCTTAAAATTGTTATAATGTATGAAATATCAGAAGCAATCTTAAATAAAAGAAATTTCCATTTAAGTCATGTTCTTCAATCTTATATGATAACGTACAAAGTATAATTTTCGAAGTTTTGTTTGTAATAAAATACATAAAACAATTCTTATTATATTTTGATTTTTCATTCAAATTCTGTTTTCGAACTCATCAATCGCTATCAATCTTAAAATTTATATGGGATGGGGCAGCTAAATAGGTTCACCTAAATATCTCCGTTACTAGTACTATTGTATGAAAAAACTTCTGAGCATGAAGTTACAATGTTCTAAGGCACATATGTAATGATGGGTATACTTCTTTTTTAGAGTCATTAATTTATAAGATATCAAAGTCACCGCCATTTCGTTAAATCGGATCCTATATTGTAAATTTATTTGCGTATAAATGAACTGTTTCTCATAAACAATGATGGCTCTTCCCATACGAGATTACGATACATCCATTTTTCCCTGCAGTGTGAAACGCATTGATTTTTTTTCAGGTATTAATATTTTGAATAGAACTACAGAATAACTAAAAGAAAATCCGCAGGTCTGTCCCTTGAAGAAACAGATACTGGTTACGTTAAAAAGCATGTGCCAGATAGATCCTCATGAATCGAGAGGCAACATGAAACGATAATGCTCTCCGTGTTAGAAAATTTTATTTACGCAATATCTTAACATTGAATAATGGAAATGATATATCTATTAGGTCATCGAATTTGTCCATTCACGCTCTGCATTTCTACTAAAAAATAAATATAGGATTCCATTTAAAAAACTGACTTCGATATTTCGTAAGATAATGACACTAAAGAAAAAGTTTACCCATCTGTGCATGTGACACAGTGTGACTTCGTCCTGAGAAACTTTTTCATACAATAATAATTAAGGGAGATATTTAAGGTTGCATGAGCTGTAAGATCTCTGCGAAAAGTTTAAGAAATGTGGTACGAAGCTATGTTTAATATTTGAAGCGATAAACTATTAAGAGAGATGATGTTTACAGAGGAGTAAAGTTTATAAAATTGTTCAATGTGTTTTCTTAGATCACAGGGTATTTTTAATGCAAAATTTGCAGATCCGATAAAGATGGTTGTTATACCTTTATAGATAAAAAGAATGTAGCACTATTCATATGGTATGAGTTGATGTAAGTAATATACAAATAATAGATAATTTCAAAGTTATACATACATCATCTGGCAATATAAGTCTCATTAAAAATCAAACATAGTTTACAGGTGGAACAAGGAAATGAAGTTATAGAGGTAAGCAAACTAATATGGGGCGTAGTAAATACGTCTGTTACGCGGAAGAGCTGGTTATTCACGAAATGGAATCGGAATCCAGAGAATTAGTTGAGCTTATGCACAACTCCTTAATAGCAAGAATAAGAGAGACGGCCAGCTCCCTTGAAATGGTAAAAACCAGGAAAATAAACAATAACTCTACGAAAAACAAGCCTTGGTTTAATGAGAACTGCTACAATGATAGGAAAGAACTAATGCAAAATTTCTAATATTGTAATATATAGTTTTGGCACTATTTGATGGAATTGTACCTGACTTGCAACTATGTATATTGTTTACAAGTCTTACTTTCGATGTTTGTTTTTTATTGTTTATCTTAAATAATTTCCTTGAAGTTGATATTATTTCAGTTGTAAAATATTCAACATGTATTAAGAATTGTATAAAATTACAAAATTCTGATATGCATCTATATTTTTTCATAAATGAAATCAAAATTTTGGTATTCAACATATGTAGAATTTAAAATGTAATAACTTTTTCAATAGTTCCACAAAATTTCTAAAATTACGCACAGTGTTAATATTTGATAATTGTTAAAATCTGAATGAATCTTTGTCATTGTTTCTATTTAAGTACGCATTCAGCTTTAAGTGAGTCCATTTAGCTCCTCTAGTCTTAAGTTGCATTAAATAAAAGAAATATTCATTTAAATCATGTTCTTTAATTTGATATCATAGACTTGGTGCAATTGACTGGTTTACTGCAAATCAGAAAAACGAGAGAATGACAGAGCTCGTGATGGGAGCTAATAAAATGCGAATAGGGTAGAAGAAAAATACCAGCAATTGAAGGGCGTGAGATCGGCGGTGTTCCAGATGTCGTTGGCCTCGCGTATCTGTAGGAAAACGGCGACGGCTAGGTTGATAAAAGGAGCACCCCAGGCGAAGAGGCTGTACTTGAGGTAGGTCGGCGGATCGTCGCGGCGCGGGATCGAGGCGACGGTCGCGTAAAGATGATGGCACATCGCGGCCAGCCAACAAACCACCGTCATACGGAGATATTGCAGGCTCAGCCCCAGGGAAATGCATAACTCCAAGTCCTGCGAACATCCAAACACACGCGCTTCTGTACAATATGCACGTACACTTATTACCATCGCGACTTTTCTCCTTCCCAACTTGCATAAGCTTCGCGATTCTTGTTTGCAATATCATTCGAGAACTGCGGATTTTATGCATCTGTAGATAGATTGAACGTGCAGAAGATATGAAATATTAAAATCGCATTATTTAAATTGATATCACAAATATTTTGCATGGAAATCCACGGTCTATTGTAAGAGACGTGTATCTAACATCAGACGCATGAGTAAGAGACAATGATCTAAGGTAGAAATGGGAAACCCCCCCCTTCGATCTCTATGTTTAAAATTTTTTTAAAAAGTATAGTAAATGACCCAATTTTTGTTCACGTAACAATTTCTACCCACTGACTTCTTTCTCTATTATTTTATTGTATATGTAATCATAAGCAAAGTGAGTAAAAATTGTTACGTAAATAGAAATAGGGACATTGAGTACAAATATCCTTGAAAATATGTTTGCCAAAAGATATGCAATAATTATTTATTTTTACAACTTATTTTACAGAGTTATAATGATGTGCATCTGCTATAATTTTACAATTTTATTTCAACTTGAACACAATATACATAATGTAGTTAAAATATTATTAAATATTATTAACCAGGAGAGTAATACTGATGTTTTTTAAATACCTAAGAAATGCCTAAAAACTCACGTTAAAAACACAAATACTTCAGTTCTTCATTTTCTTATCATTTTACTGTTGACTGCATTTTTCCTAGTAAAAAATTTCTCCACTCAAAACGTATGTACATGTTTTAGAAATGAGAGTCTCTGGTTAATTAAAACGAATTCCATAAATATGCAATACACAGATGGTTTTAATTTTTGTAGATGAATGAATCTTTCTTTGAAATCATCGTAAAAGTTCCTCAAGCTTGATTTAAAGCAAAACTGGTTTTATTTGAATGTGAATTGGATGGAGTATCTCAATAACTAATAAAAATTATTATTAATGAATTCGACTCAACTTTTGCATAACATTCATTAAAAGATATTGATCTCAAAAATCCTTCAAACAAATTTAATAGCACGATTTCAGTCGAAACTTTAGAATAATTTCGTTTTACCTAATACTTTTTATTCGAAGTTTCACTTGTTAACAATGTGTGCACAGGTATTTTATTAATTCTACTAATATACCTGCACTTAAGAATATAGAATACATGCAAGTGGTATAAGAATATTTGGAAATAAAGTTGAAAATTACTTATAATATTATACTATAGAGGCAATTATTTTACATAGCAGAGATGGGGAGCCTGCGGTTGTGTATATCTTTATACCTCATAAAAAACCGATTTACTGTCAGTTACTCCATTACTGTCACTATACTATATGGAATTATGGATGTATTGGCTATAAAGTCAATCTCAAAAGTTTATGTACCTTAGAAAAACCCATTTCCTATAATTAAAAAGAAGTCAGACGTCGGAAGAACAATGATTTTGGATGAAAAAAGTTTACTTGT